CGACTTGTGGCTTTTGGCCGTGATCGTCTTCCCCTTCTCTGGATCCCAGATCACGATATCCGCATCAGAGCCCACGGCAATCCTACCCTTTCGTGGATACAGGTTAAAGATTTTGGCCGCACTGGTGCTGGTGACTGCGACAAACTGGTTTTCATCCATTTTACCTGTGGACTGAAACCCATTTTCCGTAAGTAACAATTCTTACAATGAAGGTGTGCTGACACGTTTTTAAAAATGTATTTACATTATTTATATTCCACCTTTCTCACTGAAAGTCAAGGCCGATTGAACAGAGAGAGTCAGCTGGATGCAGACTGTAACGTGGTGGTGGTGGAGAATACCAGGGTCGGGAGGCAGAGGCAGGCTATCGAGCCACTTCTCTGAATGTCCTCTGTCCCCAGTAGGAGTCAGCAGTGATTGCCATGACTTCCTGGCAAAAATAACCAAAAAAACCAGGATCTGTCTGAAGAGCTCCTAGCTCACTCACCCTCCTGGCCGAGATAACAGCTATGAAGAAGCACACCTTCGTAGAAAGTTCTGCCACAGAACAGGTAGCCAGGGGTTCAGAAGGTGTGAGCATTGACTGTGCTAACATCACAGATAGAGACCATTGGGGCACTGAAGGATCCTGGGGTGGGCAGAGATTACCTAATCCCTTAAAAAACCTCTTAGACAAATGATGGGTGAAAACCAGTCCTCCCTCAATTCCTCTGTGATAGCAAGAGATAGCAGCCAGGTGAACCTTCAAAGAAGAAAAAGCCAGGCCCTTAAGTTTTCAGGTGCAATAAATAATTAAATATGGCCTGCAACGGGGCACCACCGGGTGACACACCCTTCCCACTGCACCAGAGGGGAAACCGCCTCCACTTATACATACAGGATTTCCTAGTCTTAGGCTTGCATGACCGTAGGAGAATGTCATTAACCTTTTTAGAAAAAATTAGGTCTCTGTCTGAAGCCGCCAAGCTGTCAGGTTAAGACGATTCAGATCGTGATGAAGCACCCAGCTGATGCCGTTTAAATCTGGTCGATTTGGCAGAGGAAGGAACTGGCCCCGGGAGATCTCCATAAGGACTGGAAACCATATTTGATGACACCAAAAGGGTGCTACCAGGATCATGTTCAATCTCTCCCTCCTGGCTGTCTCTATTACCATAAGGAGTGGGAATGGAGGGAATGTGTAAGCCAGGGCTCGCTGCCAGCGCGGCTGAAATGCATCCCTTGCGGAACCTATTCCTACCTCTGCTTGGGGACAGAGCCTTAGAGCCTTCTTGTTTTCTTGCATCACAAAAAGGCTGACATCCAGAACCCCCCAGAGGGTAGGAAGCAGTTCCAGGTAAGGTGCCTTTATGGGCCACCCATGGGAGAGTGTGCCAGCCCTGCTCAATCTGTCGGCTTCCATGTTTAAACTCCCAAGGATGTGGATAGCTTGAATGAAAGCACTGAGCTTCCTGACGTAGACCTCTGGACCCTGGACCCTGTAACTGTATTGTCTATCTGGACAAGAATGGATCGGTTCCAAAGGATATCTGAGAAACGACTAAGGGCATAACGAGCTGCTCGCAATTCTAAAATGTTAATGTACAGCAGCTTCTCCTCTTCTAATCAAGTAACCCATCAGGAAATGTAGCATAACTCTGATAAATTGTACCCTCTGAGATGGAACTAATAATGATTTATCCACCTTTACCAGGAGTCCTAGTCCTTGATGGGTCTCCAGGACAAGAGTGCAATGACTCAACAACGGGTCCTTGGAATCCACCACCACTAACAATCATCTAAGCAAGGGAATATATGGCAACCCCACATATAGAGGTAAGCAAGAACCAGGCCTAAACACTTAGAGAACACCCTGGGTGCAGTGGCTAGACCAAAGGGTAGGGCAGTGTACTGAAAATCTTGCTCCCCACATGAAAAACGAAGAACTTGCAATGTTGAGGACGGATTGAAATATGAAAACAGGCATTCTTCAAAACAATAACAATGAATCAACAATTACATTTTAATACTTGAAAATCGAAGGAATGGATACCATACAGAACGTAGAAAAATGAAGGAAAACGTTTCATTTTCTGAGGTCTAAAATGGGTCTAACTCCCCCATCTTTCTTTTCTTTTTTTCTTCTTTTTTTAATAATAATTTAGTGGACGGAGCAAGCCCCTATTCCATCTCCCAGCTCCAAAAATCCATTTAAAATATAGTCCTCAGATAGAGGACGTATCAGATTTTAAACTGATAAGAACAGATGACTTAGGTAGATAATGCTTTCCCAGCCAAAAGGCCGAGAAGCGATCCCCATCTTTCTTATCTACTAGGAACATACAAGAGAAGAAACCCTCCGATGCCTGGGAGACACCGAAACCTCCTTGATTTCGCCCTTGTCCAATGAGGAGGCCAAAGCTGCTCGGTTGGATCCCCTTAAAGGTAAAGTGCACGGGGGGAATACGCTTGCATTCCAATCTGTAACCAAATCTAATGATGGACGAAACCCACTCATGGGAGGGAACAGCCTCCCAGGCTGTAAGCGAGCTGAGCTGGCCTGTCCCCGAACTTAACAGGGGCTGGCAACGATCCTAGGCAGAAGGATGACTTCTGGGATGAGGTCACCTCTCTGGAAGAGGGCGGCTGCTGATCCGACCGAGGTTGACTGGCACCCTTACGCCTCTGGCCACCCTGTTGTGGGGTAAATGGCTTAGGGGTAGGATACTGAGACCCTGAGGGGCCAGGAAAAGGGTGGTCCCTTTGATACAGATGCCAGGGCAGTCTCACAAAGGACCTCTGCTTAAATTGGGATGTGGACAATTGTGAGACTCCTAAGGACTTGGCTGTCTGCTTGCTCTTCTTTAAAAGGGAAAGGATCTCATCCATCTTGGAAGAGAAGAGAGTGGGACCTTTGGAAGGTAACTCCTCAACTTTAAGCCTGGTCTCCATAGGCAAGGCCATTGATCTTGACCAGGTGTGGCATCTGAGTACGACAGAGCTTGCCATGGCCCGTGCAGCCAAATCCACAGAAGGCCACCCCACATTAATAAGCTGCTGTGACAGTTTAATGGCAGAACTTTAGCAAGGGGACTCTTGTCTTCCGGCAGGAGTTCCAGGAATGGAAGAATCCTCTCCCATAGAAGAGCTGATAACCAGCCATCATGGTTTCATAGTTTGAAACCTAATGCTGCTGAGAAATAACATTATTTGACCCAGGACCTCCAGTCTTCTCCCTTCCCTATCTGCGGAAGTGGAGTGGTAGGCCTGATGGCCCTTTGGCTGCATCGCCTCTGTAACCAAGGGGGATGAGTTGTCCAATAGTTAAATGGCTCCTTCTTGATCTTATAAAAATGTTCTACCCTTCTGGAGGTAGGCTGGAGAGATGCAGGTTTTTGCCACGGTTCTTGCGTGAGATCCTCAAGAGGCCCTCCAACACCGAGAAAGCAATAATCCCGGGAGACTCTGAATAGAAGCGACTCAGAATCTTATCTTTGGGTTTGTGCTCTGAGGTAATAACTTCTATCTCGAGAGACTGGGCCATACGAATCATCTGTTCTCCAAGCATTCAGAGATCCTCCACGGGAGACGCCGGAGATGAATTACCTACCCTCTTGGCTGGGCTCAGACTTGTTGTGTCAGATCCATCATAGATTACAGCAAAACATTTGACTGTGTAGATCATGAAAAGCTATGGTTGGTTTTAAAAGAAATGGGTGTGCCACAACATCTGACTGTTTTGATGCATAAGATATACTCTGGACAAGAGGCTACTGTTAGGACAGAATATGGAGAACCACTATGGTTTCCAATTGACAAAGGTGTCCCATGAGGATGCGTTTTATTCCCGTCTCTTCGATCTGTATGCAGAATATATCATAAGGAAGATGGGTTAGATTTAGATGAAGGTGGAATGAAAATTGTTGGAAGGAACATTAACAGATTGAGATATACAGATGACACCTCATTTCTGGCAAAAGATTTGAAACAACTCCTGATGAAGGTTAAAGCAAAAAGTGCCAAAGCAGAATTACAGATGAACATCAAGAAAAGACAAAAGTGATGACTACAGGGGAATTTCAGAAACTGAAACTGTTCAAGATTTTCTATTCCTTGGCTCAGTCACCAACCAAAAGGGAGACTGCACCCCAAAAAATCAGGAAGAGTCTAAGACTGGGGAAATTAAGAAGCTAGAAAAGATTCCCAAAGGTAGGATGTGTTGCTGGCAACCAAGATCAAGATAATTCATGCCACGGTATTCCCCATAACTACGTCTGGGTGTGGAAGTCAGACAATGAAGAAAGTTTACGGGAAGAAAGTTGATTCACTGGGGGGAGAGTTTTACGGATATCATGGATTGCCAGAAAAACAAATCACTGTGTTCTAGATCCAATCGAGGCTGAGCTCCCCCTAGAACAGTGATGGCGAACCTTTTAGAGACCGAGTGCCCAAACTGCGACCCAAAACCCACTTATTTATCGCAAAGTGCCAACACGGCAATTTAACCTGAATGCTGAGGTTTTACTTTAGAAAAAACAACTCATGCATTAACTTAAGATGATCCAAACAAAGTAAGGAAAGCAATCCCAAATGCTTTCATTTACTTAAAATTATTTGGCAGCGAATTCGACACTTTAATGATGGTCTGGGCCTGGCTGGGGCGATGGCACGCGTGCCCACAGAGAGGGCTCTGAGTGCCACCTCTGGCCCCCATGCCATAGGTTCGCCACCACTGCCCTAGAAGCTAAAATAACTAAACGGAGGCTATCGTACTTTGGTCACAGAATGAGAAGACAGGAGTCACAGGGAAAGACAATCATGCTCGGAAAAGGTGAAGGCAGCAGGCAAGAGAGGAAGACCCCACAAGGGATGGATGGACTCAGCCAAGGAAGCAAGACCTGAGCGGGGCCATTAATGACAGGATTGGAGGTCGTTAATTCATAGGATTGCCATGATTCGGATGCAACTTCACTGCACTTCACACAACACAACACACACACACACACACACACACACATCAATGTCGGAAGTAGGATGGGGCATCCAGTAAGCAATGCAATAAGACCAGGATTACAGGAATCTGAACCAAACCATGAATTATTAGACAGGACATGTTACACCATGCAGAAAACAATGTTGTGAATGGGAAATACTATGCTCCCGGTCACACCGGCGGGAAAAGCCGTGTCGGAAGTGTGGCTTCTTAGAGCCGCACCAAAGGAAAGTGCAGCATCGGGATCAGACGCTTCCCCCGAGCCACCGCACATATTCTGTCCGGCGCGATCACATGGACGGGGGAAGCGAGGCAAAGACGGGGGAGCCGAGGCTGCTGGAGTATTCGTGCGCATGTGCAGTCCGGCAGTCCCTCGAATAACACGGGCTGCTGGCGCATCCGCGATCCCACGCCCGGCCTTGCTGCAGATCTTCCAGTAGGTACTACATTTTCCCTAGTACCTTTTTGATCTGTGTTTTCGGCCGGAAGGGACGGGTTGGGGGTGGGTGCGCGACGCTTGCCAGATGTTGGCATCTGATCGCGCCCGTTTGATGTGCCCTCAACTCGTCTGCTTCGCGGGGCAAATCCTCCCATGTGACCGGGGCCTAAATACAGCAAACAGATAAATCCATCCTGTCCACAGTCCTGGGAGAGCCCACAGTCCTGTTCCCTTTATACAAATTCCCTCCTGAACAACCCTGGTGGTGCTGATGGGTGGGAAATGGAGGGTGGGAGAGAGGACACGCAATGGCCCGAGGACAGGATTGGGGAAGGAGGACGCAGTGAGCGGCAGAGCTCATGGGGGCAGGGGGCCTGGGGAGAGGGGCACGGAACCACTCCAGCCTGTTGAAGCCTGCAGAGCACCTCCTGGCTCTGGCGTGGGCCTGTCCTTGGCATGACCAGTTCTCGGTGCTGGGGCACGCTCCCAGACATGCACGTGGGTCCCGCCAGCGGCAGGGCGAGGCAGCAGGCCTACACATCATGCTCCCCCCTCCAGTAACCTTCCGTGCATAACGCTCAGCACGAAATCATTCACTTCCTTCGTGCATAAGCAGAGCCTGACAAGTTGTTCTTTGCGAAGGGCCCAGCAAGCAGTGGGAAGAATATGTTAGCTGCGGCTTGCTCCTACAGCACCCCTGCACTTAGGCCCAGCCTGCACAGATGGCCTCTTCGCCAGGCTGGAATGCTGGGAACAAAACTTCTAAGGGATGTGCCAACGAGCACTTTGGAAGTTCAGCCTGTTCCTATCTAGACACAGCTGTCATAGGGAGAAATGTTCCCTTTAAACTGTTCCTCCAGTCGTACAGGAACCACCAACTCATGGGTACGGTTGCCAGGTCTGGGTTGGGAAATGCCTGGAGATTTGGGGGGTGGAGCCTGGGGAGGGACTTCAGTGAGGTCACAGAGGCCAGCTTCCAAAGGGGCCATTTCTCCAGGCAAACTTTTTTTTAATCCCAGGAGATCTCAAGCCATGACCAGGAGGTTGGCAACCCTGTTCATAGGATCAACGGGACCCGGCCGTGGAATATTAGTGGGACAAAATTCTGGGGGCCCTGGTCGTCCTGGGCTGTATGCAAATCAGGGAATGGTGGGGGGGGAGAGATTTTTGCCTGGGAACTTGTGGTGAGCTCTCAGGAGAGCTGGATTGGACCAGTCATATGACAGAGGCCAGATCCACACCCCCTTCCCATGATTGGTCGCACCTACATCACATGGTCAGAAGACTGCCTGGTTTTCCAAGACACAAGCAGCTCTTAACATCCCTGGGGGTGTATCTGAGAAGCTTGTGGCCAACGAAGTCTTAGAAATTCCACAAAGAGGGGGGGGGATTGCTTTTGTTCATTAGATTCTGTACATTCACATTTGGTTTCCTTGGTTCTTCTTTCCCAACACTAGCTCCCCCCCACACCCCCGCATCCCCTAACTTCTGCTAGATAATCTAGACATGCATTTAGGATGCTAATTTAGATCCAGAACAAAGGTTGAGTCCAGACGATAAAGACCAACAAAGTTTTATTCTGGGCGTAAGCTTTCGTAAGTGTGCACATGAAAGTTTATACCCAGAACAAAACTCTGTTGGCCTTCAAGGTGCCCAGTCTGGACTCAACCTCTGTTCTGCTGCTTCAGACTGACGCGGCTCCCCCACCTGGATCTGTACTCAGAACCTTCCTGAATCGAATTACACTGCAGGCAATCTCTCCAGAGTGGCTTGACCGCAGCACCAGGGAAGGAAAATGCGCTGCCTGTCAAGTGTCTCTCAAGCCTGCAGCGGCAGGCCTCAGCTGAGAACACAGAGGCACAAGCACAGAATCCACGTGCCCTGCCCCTGCGGTTTCCGGCTCATAGCGACACTCTTCCCCCGGGAAGCCTGAAGTGGCTTGAGGGGCGTGGGGAGAGGGGATACACTCCCAAGGGTCCCCCACCCAGCTTGCCAATCAAGTCTGCAGCTTTAACACTGCTACAGGGCTGCCTGTTCCCAGGCCGTTTACTGGGACCTCTTTGGACCTGGGTCCCAGAGTCACGGCTCCAAATTCCCAAATGAGCCATGAATCTCCCTGGATATCCACTGGCAAACCAATCAAACCATTCTCTCTCTGACTTAATTACGAAGCAAGGAACAGAATGGACAATGAAAGGGCAGGATGAAATTCAATATTTTTATGAATGGTTGAAATATATGCAGATTTATGATGTTTTTAAAATGGATAAGAAGAACTATGGTTTTAGAGAAGATAGAAACGAAATAGAAACTGTTTGGGAAAGTGGGGGGAGGAAAATGGTTTCTAATATGTATAAAATACTGTTGAAATGGTTTACGGAGGATGAATCTGTAAAAGAGCAAATGATAAAATGGGCTGTTAATATGAATAAGGAAGTAACCATAGAAACATGGGAATATTTGTGGAAAAATTCTATGAAGCTATCTGTATGTACTAATGTAAAAGAAAATTGTTACAAAATGATGTATAGATGGTATATGACACCTAAGAAAATAGCAAATATGAACCAGAATATGTCTAACTAATGTTGGAAATGTAAAAAACATGAAGGCTCATTTTATCACATGTGGTGGACATGCGACAAAGCTAAGGACTTTTGGACAAAGGTCCACAGTGAAATGCAAAAGATTCTAAAATGTTCTTTTAAGAAAACACCTGAAATTCTGCTCTTAGGTTTAAAAATGGAAGAACTGAATGTAACAAAAAAGACGAGATGGACAAAATAACCAAAAAGTTGAACAATAAAGAGGACCAAGAATTTTTCGAAGAATGGAATGACTTTAAGATATATTTAGAAAAGAACTGGGACGTGAGACAAAATTTGCTATGTTTAGAACAATATTAAGTACTTGATGTTATCCTGAGTTTATCTATGTGGGACATGAGGGAAGTGCATTGCGGGAAGCCTTTTGGGGGAGGGAGGGAAAAGGGAATATTTAACCAACTGACAAAAAGGTGTAAAATGTGATATTATGGAAAATAAAAAGTCTTTTGACCAAAAAAAAACAACACCATTCTCTCTCTGCCTCATCGCCATGGTTTCACACGTAATAAATACACGAAGAAGCGGTGTCTGAGCGAGAGCCACACCTTTCGAATCCATCTCAAGTCTGAATGACCACGGCAGAGGAAGAGGGAAGAGGGGCCAGGAAGGCGCAGGACCCCCCCCCCCCGGGGCCCAGCGCAGGGCAGGACCTGCAGCCTCCAAGGCCACACTTACCACACACTTGTCCCAGACCACCGTCATCCTCTCCTCGATCCCGTTGACGCCTTCCGGGATCAGAGTGAAGTTGTCTTTCCCGACGGCCTTCTGGGCTGTGCTGTACGTGCAGTGGCCGCTCCCCGTCACCTGCAGGTCTCCGCTGGAAGAATTCACAGGAGAAACATTTGAACCGGCTGCAAGAGAGGGGGTCGGCTGCCCACAGTCTTGGGTGGGGCCAGAGAGATAACAGGGGTCGTTTCGTAGAAAACGAGCTAGGGGAACTCATTAGCATAACTCATTAGCATATGCCACACCTCCTGACATCACCGGAAGTGTGTCATAAGGCCACACACCCCGCCCCCAACGGTCCCGGCCGCCACCGCCGGCCTTGCAGCTCCACTGCCGAGCCCCATGAGGGGCCCGGTGGTGGACCTGCAAGGCCGGTGGGAGTGCAAGGAAGCCCCGCGAAGGCCCTCCCTGGGCCCAGGCAGGCAGGGGTGGGGAGAGGCAGGGAGGAAGCAACTTACCCTCCCTCTTCTCCTGCCTCCTCCTGGCTGAATGAGGGCCGGAAGCGGGGCGGCCGGAAGCAGGGGGCGGGGCTTCGTCATGTGCCCCGCCCCCCTGCACCTCACCCGGGGGCACTGCGATCCCCCGCAATCCCCCCCGAAATGACCTCTGTGTATATACACTCTTCCGACATCTACTGTTTTCAGGGCCATCGACTGCAACTACCCTCTGCCTTCAAACACTCACCGACGGCTCATCCTTCCAAGAGACCTGAGTTCAGGTCATTTCTCTGTGAGTTTACATATACTAGTTTACGTAGACTAGTAATAACAACGATGGGCCATGAAGTCACAACAGACTTATGGCGACTTCAGGTCCATGGAGGTTTTCAAAGCAAGAGATGCGCAGAGGTGGTCCACCACTCTCTTCCTCTGCATAGCTACCCTGTGCTTCCTTGGTGGTCTCCCATCCAAATCCTACTTGTGATTAGGCTGGGCTGCGGTGGCTCCAGTGGTTAAGACGCTGAGCTGCAGACCGGAAGGTCTGTAGTTCGGCAGTTCGGGACCCGAGTGTGCCGCATGACGAAGTGAGCTCCTGTCTCTGGCCCCAGCTCCTGCCAACCTAGCAGTTCGAAAGCAAGAAATTGCAAGTAGATAAACAGGTACAGCTTCAGTGGGAAGGTAACAGCGTTCCGTGCGCCTTGGTGTTTAGTCACACCGGCCAAATGACCATGGAAACATCTTCGGACAGCGCTGGCTCTTCAGCTTGGAAACCGAGATGAGCACCGCAACCCTAGAATCGGATTCGACTGGTTTTCGAGCAAGGGAAACCTTTGCCCTTATCTAATTTACATGTAGCTATTTTAAAACCAATTCTGTGCCCCATCCTTTCCAGCAGAGCCAAGCCGGATCTATGAGGGAGAATAATGAACAGGCCCTAGAACGCCCCTGCCTTCCAGCTACCGTTACTGAAAAGCAGCCATGGGCGGTTGCCAAGAGGCAGAGGTACAGCAGGGAACCAGGAACTTAACTCTTTCCATGCCTGCCTTTTGTCCCACTCAGAATCAGCCCCCCCGCACACCACAGCCCACCCTGCAGGGGAAAAGACACAGAGACCTCATTTTTGTTCTTCCCCCCCAATATAGGGGAGACCGTCTTGAGAAGGATGACTGCAGACAAAAAAATGGTATGAAGGCAAAGCCCCCTGCCATCAATCGTAACTGCAAAGACTAATGCCTAAGAAGTTGGGGGACAGTTAACACATTTCAAGAGTAAAGTTTAACATGGCCTGAAGGTGAATACAAGAAGTGTTGTTCCTCTGAGAGTGAGGAAGGCTCGGCAGCACTCCAAACCACATCAGGACGCTGCCTTGTCTGTTGACTGCCACCCCCTTAGATCACGCCCAAGAGGTTTGTGGACACCCCCCCCCCGCTGATCAGTGGCTTCCCAGCAGTTCCAGTTCCGTACCAAGCTAGGAGAGAGGTCAGATGGTCGGGGGTGGTCGGATCCAGGCTCAGAGGGGGCGAGGTCACAAACGCAGCCGCCTTGGCCCAGTTCTTGCTCCAATAGTGTGTCCCATCAGTCCCCAGGCTGGCCGTGATGGGCTCCCCAAACACAAGGGCACCTGCAGAGAAGGAAAGGGACAGCCACTGAAGGCAACGGCGTCACCCCGGAGCCTTTCACCTGGGCCTGCCTGGCCTGGCAACAGAACCCTTTCAGAAGGCAGGGCGCAAAAGCAAAGTTCACCAGGAGGCGTCCCGCAGCCCTGTGCGAATGCAGAGGAGATGAAGCCGACGCTGGCTTCATCTGGTGGCGCTCATTCCAGCCACCCCCTCTCCCTCTTGCACCAGCAGAAGGGAGTGAGACCGGCAGTCTGGCGGGTCCTTTCCCACAGCCAGGGGCGAGCCGTCCCAGCAGGGGAACGAGGCCCCTCCCGGCTGGTGTGAAGCAGCCCTGGGTGCCCCGGAGGGGAGGGGGCTGCCCTCGAAGAGCCTGCTGAGAAGGGAGGGGGGGCAGCCCAATAACCATGACGAGAAGAAGCAAAAGGGATTTTTGTGCCGGGGGGGGGGTTGATAAACTACTCGGTTGTGATTGTCCAGTTGGATGGAGTTGTTCTTCTGATGGCACCAGCTGCTCTTTTGCTTTTCCTCGCCGTGTGCTTTTCCACCACCTTGAAAACAAGCACTGATCTTTGATGTGCTTTTACAAGTGGGAGAAGCAGGATCCAACAAAGGACCTAAAGTAACGGCTCCAAAGAGCCTCTTCCCCAAGCCTCCATTTGGATCAGTGGCTTCCCAGCCCAGCCCAGCCTCGCCAGTCCTTCGCCAGACATGCCCATGGTCCAGTGCAGGCCCCGAGCCGGCACTGACTGAACCGCCACTCCAGCGAGCCAGGGGCCCATCCCACACCTTTCTTCCTGGCCAAGGAGAGGATGTCAGCCGCGCTCTTGCTCATGACCTTGGTGATGTACAAGGGACAGTTGATCCGACTGGCGATCGTGAGGGCCCGAAAAACAGCTTCTGCTTCGAGCTGAAAGACAAGGACAGAAATGCCACTGGAGCCAAGGCCTTCCTGTGGGGAGTCCGAGGGCTTGGCAGCCTTCTTCTCCAGCCCATGCCTCAGCCGCCTTCTCCCACGTTGCCTCCACAGCAGCTCTTTCCCAGGCCTTTCCCCTCCTCGTCCCCCTACCCTCCTCGGTCTTTTCTGCTCCTCCCCCCCGCCGAGTGTTGGCCCCGTCGCAGCCTGGCCTCCTGACCAGTCAGAGGGGAGGCAAACAAAGCATCTGTCACAAGAAGCTCATCGTGAATATATCCTCACAGAAATCAGCCAAGCTACTTGCACAGATCTCTAAACTAGAAGCCAGGAATGTCATTTTTTTTAGCAAGGTGTTCTATATTTAGAGTGTTTTTCCTCCCAGAAGTGTAAAGTTGTGAAGCGCTGACTGACTGCCCGCACCATCTCGCATTGTGTGCACCTGCAAAATGAGATCATTTCAACCTGTGATGATGGCCAGAAGGCCCGAACAGACAGCTGGCTGCTCTCTCACCTCCTCCGGCCTGCTCAAGGCGTGCCCCTCGGGGCCAGTGATCCCCAGCTCAAGCATCCGCTTCTGCTCCTGAAAGAATAAGAAGATGTGCCCTGTCAGTGCCAATCAGTTCAGCATAAGACTGGCCACACTGATATGGCCTGTTCCATCTGGAAAACATGCCAGAGACCACGCAAGCTCACGCCGGAAGGCCTCGCCAACTTGCCACAAAAAGCCACGTATGGATCACAACTTACTGCCAGTGGACCCACAGTAACCCCCCCAAAATGGAACCAAAAATGTTTTCTCACCTGAGCTATCAAATCCCCATTTTCAGCATGGACCATGATTACAGCTCCAAGACTTTTCAGGAAAGCAAAGGCTTCGTAGAGCTACATACAAGACGAAGGGAGAAAGCCCAGTCAATTATGTTCTGTCTGTTCTTTCCTCCTTTATAACATGTTATGATTTTTACTGTCCCGCTTTGGGATAAAGCTAGAATCTGAGAAAGGCAAGCCTTCACTTCTCTCTGAGAGCTAAGCACGGCTTTCCCCCTTTTCTTCAGCCACATATTGGGGGGGGCACCATTGAAGTCTGTTCCCTCCCCATCCTGGGCCAAAAGTACTAAGTCTGCTGAGGGACCAAGAAAGCAAAGCAAGATAAAATACTTGCCAAGTGACACCACATGACCTTCCAAAAGGTCCAGCGAGACATTCTGTTTTCAGAGGCAGTGGGAGAATGCAATCAGTGGGATTTCCCCCACAAGGATAAGTTC